TGAACCAGACTGATCCCCTCTCCATCAAGACAATGGCTAGCACGAAGGGGAAACCTTAAGTGACTCCCAAAGCAGATGCCATCTCATGTGAAAGCCCTGGGTTTGTAATTCTGGAGCAGCAGAAGGTGACTGGCAATCTGAAAACTTTTTCCTTTGTTTTCCAAATGAGTTTTATTATTGTGAAAAACAGACTGAAAGCATCCAATTGGTGTAATTCAGGGGTCTTTTACTAATTCACCAGTTAGCACAAAATAATTGTGAAAAAAAAAAGTGCTTTATGCTGTTTCAGTTGACTGTTGATTCCAAATGTGAGCCACTTTTAGCTCAGCCTGCCCTCAGACGTAATTGTGGTGATTGTAATCTCCACATATCACAATTTATGATGAACTCACATACATTTCAAAATAACAACAGTCCCAGTTGACTCCTGCCTTACTAGCAAAACAACATATGATCTGACTACACAATGGGCGTATCTGGACCACCAGCTAAAAGCAAATCTTGATTTAGAGCCCACTTTCTAAATCAAACTCCCTCTTCTCTCAAACTGAAAATCACCTGGCTTATGCTAAGGGGTTGCACCAGCCCAAGCTCTCTTCATTGGGTTGGCAGGGACCAAGAACAACTAACTCCTGAATGCAACTCACAGCTGTTGTGTGTACAAGCTCAAGAAACAGCTAACAATGTCATAGCTTACTCCACCAAGTACCTATCCCAAGCTTATCTCTACTGGACGCTGTGTGAATGCTCTGAGCACAAGACACCAGAGGGCTGACGTCCAGCTATGTGGATTCAGGATGGTGATGTGCTTACACCTGCTTTAGGGTCTGCTTTTTGTCTTGAAGAACTAGATATGACTAGTTCCATTCAGAGCATGCTGAGAACTGTATATATGTCTGTGATGAAAGATAAATACAATGCAACGACAAAATATAGAATGCAAGGACAACCTCTACAAACTGAACGCAACTTTTAAGTCAACAGTATCTCCCTCTCTCTCTTTCGTTTTTAACTTACTCTACAGCTTCTCATAGGTTTCTTTCTACAGGACTTGCCGTATAATACCGAGGGCCTTGCTTGAGCTGTGAAGAAGCAGCATTTTCCATGTCCTCTAACTACATTTTTATTACCCTACTCTTTGAAGAGTCAAGGCATTTTGCTCCCACGAGAGTTCTCTTCAGGGTATGCAATGTATTCTTGCTCCCTGAATACGTCTCTGAGACTGAACAAATTCACGTAATCTCAGGCAATGCCAGGCTGGGCAGATGCAGGCATCTGGGAACCTCCAGGACTTCAGAAGCCCAGTGCAACAGGATGCTACCAGACCTGGCAGCCCCTGTATAACCCCTCATAATATATGAGCAGGCTGCTGCTATGTTACCTGAGGGGTGTAAGGCTTAACAGAGAAAGCAAAAGCAGTCAGAAAGAGGAAGCAGGGCGATACCTGCTAAACAGCCAGGCACAGTAGCTTCCCCACCATCAGCCGGTCTATTATCTGTGAATTAACAATGATTTGGAGCCTGGCAAGTATATGCAGTGACCTGGAGAAAAAGGCAGCGACATGAGGGTGTTTCCTGCAACACCAACATACAGCTGCTCTATAAAAATCCGTAATGCTCCCTGTTGGCAAGCAACTGGCTAGTTCAGAAGAACCAGAGTGCTCCAACAGTCAGCTCTGCCATTACTGTTCCTGTCGCCAACTACCCTTGGTAATGGCCAGGACACTGGACCACAGATCAGGAAAGAGTTGGGACTCTACCACTGAATCTCATCTGTGACCTTTGTCAAGCCACTTCCCTTCTCTATGCTTCCACCTCTGTGCCTGTAAAATGGATGTAGTTAGGCTGAGCTCTTTTGTGAAGGGCTCTGAGAGACAATAAGGTGGGGAAAAACACCACCTTATTTCCAATTGCCATTTGCAGAGCACTGCTTTCTGATCACTTTATCTCTGCCCCTAAACCAAGCGTGCACAAATACAGTACAAAGAGATGAACTTGCCCCAAGATGAGATACGGGGAAATAGATGACGCTGACCCAACAGGTATGGGAGCACAGGCTTGCAATGAAAACTATGAGCCGTATGACAAAGCACAAGCACATCAGCCATTTTAAAGAACTCTGAAAAGAGCAATGCAGTGGATTTGAAGTGGCAGAAACTCTTCCCATGCATAAGACAAAAATACAAAGATCTGTACTGACAAGTACAGAAAGAGGAATGGAAAGGAGCTGTGGTGCTTACCCATGACGCTAGCATTCATCAAGGCAGTGAAGACAATGAGGATGTCCGGGAGCCCATCACCGTTCACATCGCACAGCTCCAGTGGGGATAACACACCACCTGCAACATTCACACAGAATCACCACACCGTTGTCAAAAAGGCCACTCAGCCCATTCTCCATACTGGGAGCAGAGGGCTGGCCCAGAAAAGAGACTCATGGACAGCCAAGCCTCACAGAGTCTGCTAGGTAACCACCAATTCCAGGCAGCTCCCACCACTGCATGGAAAGGCAGAAATGTAGCATCTGGGTCAGAGAAAGGAAAGGGAAAAATGGAGGAGCCAACAGAACAAGATGTCTGCTTCCCACTTCTCATTCTGAGGTGATGTGGGAGCCACATATCTTATGAAAGGCTTAGATCTGGAAGCCAGGGGCAGAAAGCAAGGAGGGAGAGACATATCTAGACCTGGCAGAGATTATTCCACAAATCACTGTTACTTTACTGCAGAGGTCAGAATGGCAGATACTTCAGAAATGTTACTAGTGGCCCACACAGGATGACAAAAGATCCCAAATGTTGATTTATAGATTCAAGCAGGACAAGAAGACAAAAGGAATAAGGTTAGTTAAGCCAGTTAAGAGACACAAAGATTTCTATCCCTCTCCTCCTGAATACATCCACAAACTTCAGTGGGGGAGTTGCTGGTGAAACCCAGGATGTAGAGAGGGAGGTGCTATGTTTTAAAGTGGTCTGGGCCATCTCCATATGGAACAGATCACACCATCCAGACAAAAAGGTAGGATGGGAGAAAAGTCAAAATGTTTTTTGATGTTGACAGAAACAAGAATTTGTGGCACTGTCATCTACTGATGCCAGATTTCACAGGCCTCAGCTTGAAGAGTGAGCAGCACGCAGCCTGTCTATTACCTCGGAGCATCTGCAGTGGTGAGGAAGGGCCTCTGCTCCGAGCTGGCTCTCCCAGATAGGTCTCTCCCGCCGATGCCCAGCCTGGGAGCTGCCACCTCCCCCATGCCAGATGCTGTTCCTGGGGCTTTCTCACCTGCTCCCTGACCTAGGTTGCGGTTCCAGGTGTTATGCAAGTCTCTAGGGGGACAGGGAATTAGAAATGCGCACACCAACACAAGAATCATCGAGATCACCACAGTGAGCAGAAAGATCGCTGTGCGCAGGTATGGCATGAGGGAGGGAGCAGCCTTCTGCTCCAAACTCCCAGCTGTCTCTGCAGGATAACCCTCGGGCACGCTCTCTGACGTGTGCTGCTTTGTCATCCCAACCTCCACATCGGAGTCAGGGTCCTGCATCTCCTCAGGGGGGCTCTTCCCATTCTTGACACCCCCATTCTTCTGGATGTTGAGTACCAGGTCATCTTCACTTTCATCACTGTCAGCCTGAGTGAGGGGATCATATTCCCCGAGGTCTGGGCTCTTCTTTCCTGAGGAAAGAGATGGAGGAAGAAAATAAAAGGTAAGGTCCTTGCTTTTGCAGGGCCTCAGTAGACAAAAGTTTGCAGTGGAGAGTGATACAGAAGGGAGGACTGCGCAGTCTGTATTTTGTGCATGGATGCAAGTGAGAGGTGTGAGAGAGAAGACAGAGTCTGTCCACGTTCCAGAGTAGCAGCTGCAGGAGAAAAGGTGTCGACAGTTTAATTCCCTGAGATAAAGTTGTATATATCTAGTATCTCTCTCTATACACACACACACATATGTGTGTGTGTATATATGAATTCCATATATATATGGAATTCATGGCTGATTTAATTCTAATACTTTCCTGTTTGGTAATGAGACATGCTGACATGAAGTCATGCTTAACGCTTTGAGTACCTAAACTGCAGCACTCTCTTGACTTCAGACTCTGAACTCCTTTAGCATTTGCAAACTTCTAATCCCAACACAGTCCCTCTTCACTTGTAGTCTGTGTTCTCTTGAGAGGCGCTCCCTCTGCAACTCATTTTCCCCCTGCTCTTCCTGCCTGGTCCAAGCAGCACTGCTGCCTTCTCGTGTGGCACATCTGCTATGCTGCTTTGTGAGTGACAGAAGGGATAGAGCACTGCACACAGTTTCTCTGCAGTGCTGGTAAAAATGGGTATCAAATCCCTGAAGATGAGGGCAAAGTGATTTTGCCCTTTTGGGCCAGTAACATGCTGGTGTCTGAAGGGATCAGGGCCACCCCTCTAAGACACCACCTTCTCTGCATGGCTCAGCAATGTGAGAGGGAGTGCTCCAGCTCCTGCAATAGTGCTCCTGCTCTGTTCCTGCTCCCACCAGAGTCGACAGCTTGTGCTTGGCCTTGCCAAGATAGATAACTTAGCACTGATGCCTTCAGGTAGTAGCTTAGCTCTAAGGTGTTTGCCTGGCACATGGACGACTTCTCCCCCAAGCCCTAGACAGCCACAGGGAGTGTGATGAGGGCAGGTGCAGAGCCCAGTCATACATATGGCGTAAGGCTAGGGCCATCTGTTTATGGGGGCAGGCAAGATCACGCAGACTCACTGCCCCGAGCTACGAGTGGAAGATCACGTCTCAGGGAGCTGCCTTGCGCCACCAGGCTGGGCATGGAGCCATGGCCACTGCTCCGATGATTGCAGTGTCTCGGTCTATTTCTCTCTCTCTCTCCCCCTGTTTCAAGGTGGGACTTTGCTGTCCCAGATATCTGCCTTGTTTCTCTTTGCCTAAAGCTGACCCAAGACAGGAGCTAACTTGCGCTCGAAGATGCTTGAAGTGATACATGCAAGGCATAAACAATAAGCAAAAATACACAAGCTGTAACCACTCTCAGACACTAAGATGATGGGAAGGCTTTACAGAGCGGAAATTTAAGGGCTTTCATGATTATTCTTCCTGCATGAGATAGTATGCCTTATTTCTGGTTTTCCTGTTAAAGGCAGACTCACAGTTACAGACGTACTGTAGTATCTAGTTAGTGCAACACACCTATTTTGCATCATGTAGAATCTATTTTGCAGCACGTGCATCTCATTTCTTTCTCATTTCTTGCCCCTCGAAAAGACCTTCACTTCCCCTTCCTGTACCACTTATAAATGGTATTCAGTGTCAATTTTAGGATTTAAGAAAAACTGTCAATCCCACTAAAGGCCAAATGCCCCACACCGAGTAGAGCAGCCAAGACAACCCACCCACACTGAACACAGGGAAATAAAGATAGCCAGCGAGGTCACATATCAGAATCAGACCCTTCCTTTTTGAACTATGGCCTTCTATGAAAGATTAATGTCAAAACAATCTGGTGTACATACCAAAAAGCTGTTCCTTGTGGAGGTAGACCACCCAGCTAAAAGATACTACATTCCTATGGGATGGTCCAATATATCCCTGTGAGACACTGCATTGTTTCACACAGAGCTGCCCTAAACATGCGTTCAAAGTGTGGGCTTTTTAGGAAGTCTTGATAACCTTGGCTCCATCCTGTGAGCAGCATAGAAGGCCACCAACCTCGGTGGCACACAGCTCTCTGCTCAGAGATTGCAGTGACAGCGCAGCGTGAACTTCCCAGATATCTATACAGGAGGTTGTGCTGACAAGTTGCTGAAAGAGTACTCAGCGAAAACAAGAAATTCCAGAGAGGATCTGCTGGCAGGATATTTGCAGCTTCTCACTACAGATCCAGATGTGCCAGTTCAAGCCAGGTCAGAGTGGTATGAAAAGTAAATGCTGCTGGCCCAAGAGGAAATGGCCTTTAGTCTGGGAAGTCAAAGTTATGTCAACCAGACTGCTCCTGGTTTTGGAAACTGGTGTGCTTTGAGTAAAACAACTCAACAGCATACTTACAATTCAGATATACTGTGATTCAGATATACTTTAATTATTTTAATGCCAGACAGTCAACTCAGGAGACTGAAACCTGCTGTTCATCCTTGGAGCAAAAAGCATTGCTAGGAATGAGCTTTATCTGGAACACTTTTGTTCTGGATCTCTAGGAGACAGAAAGAACCTTGAAACTATGGCTCACTCACTCCTTGAACTGGCTGGGATTGAGGTGTTGGGAACATAGACAGTGGTGTCGACCACCACAGATGATCTGTAACAGCAACACCTTTACTGCCAAGAACCAGGTAAGAATCCCAGTCCACTGATCAGAGGCTAGAAAACAGCTGCTACACAGTAATGACTTACAGCTTTTGGTAATCTTTTGGAAAGGATCTATTGAGTTATATGAGGGCTATAAAGCAGAGAGCTGCTCAGTCTTATTTCATGTATAAGCCTGACCAGGAACCAAAAACTGGCACTCCTTCTCCCCATCTTTCCTCGAAAGGTTAGCTGGCACTCTCACAAGCCACAGCCACTCAGTAAGTTTGGGCATAAAATGCCCTGCTGTTTTTTTTTTTTTTTTAAGCTAAAAGGAGGGAAGACCGCCCTTTAGCAATGGCTGTTAAAGCACTCACATAGCACATGGGAAACCCAACTGCATATCTAATCTCAGAGGATTTAAATGCTCATCTCTCACTGTTCAGAGAGGGTCCTAACAATCGATCTATAGGTGTTTGAGAATGCATCTGGAGGACTGGTGAGGACAGGCTCAGCCTGGCCTCTTGAGGCTGTTCTGTGGTGCAGAGAATACATAACTCATAATTCACCTGGCTGGAGAGAGAGCAGAAGGAACATAAGTCTTCATCTGAGTTTTAGGTCACTTGCTGTGGGAAGGAGGGGATACCACACCTGACTTCCACTAATCACTCCCAAATGATTTTTCAACAGAAAAACATAAAGACACATAAACAGCAGTAAAGAATGTGTGAAAACAAGAGCAGTCACACATCACTTAGAGAATTATAATTTACTGAGAAGTGCTCCAGAAATCAAATTCTTTCCTCTCTGGTCAACAACAAGGCTCAGGCTGGGGGAAGACAGTTTGTCCATCAAGAGAAAGCTAAAAATGCCTCTGTTGCAAGTGATAAGCTGTCAGAAAACCCAATACTCCCATGCAGTTTCCAACTTTCCATCATGGAAGCAGAAATGCTAAGACCCAAGTCCGCCTTTTGGTCAAACTCTCACCCTATCTCTTGAAATGATAATCACTGCATAACCTTCATGATAAATCATTTCCTGCACTAAAGAAAACAGACTCCAGACCTACCCTGAGCAGCTCTGTGGCCTTCCTTGTGTATGTAACAGACCTGTATAACTCACATCTTGTTATCTGTCTTTGGCATACCATGTCTAAGTGTATCCACTTTACAGGGACAGAGTTCATACCAGCAGAGTCAGTTTCCTTGCTGCTCTGTGTTCTCTCCTACAGGTATGGTAAATAAACTGCTTCTGTTCTGACCTGTTCTAAATTCTATTCCTTTATTTCCACTGCACCAGTGATAAAACAGAGGTTCCCAGTCAGTGGCCTGTGTTTACAATCAATCTGAGGAACAGTTGCTTGTGGTCTGTGGCTAAATTATTGGCCATGTTGCCCTAGATTTTTTTTTCCAGCACTGGAAGAAAAAGCAAATACTAAAGAGGGAGGTTTTCAAGGGCAGAAGAGAGATAATGCTCCAAACCTACCAACTTTAAAGGGCAGCTGGACTCTAAACTGCACTTTATGACTTTGAAAATCCCCTGTGCATTTTCCTAATAGCACTTTTTGCACAGGCAGCTCTTGCAACTATTGCAGTAGAAAAATGTGACCTCTCATAGAAGAAAAGATGAATCATATGATCACGATTCAGAAAGGAGGCATCTGTGAGGTGATCTGTGTTGGAATCAGGTCCCACTCATAATGAAATACTCATTTCTAGTCCTGATAGCTTGCAAGATATTAATGGTAATCTTTTTTTTTGTTTTTGACTTACTAGAAAGGCTTTTCTTTGCACTCACGTCGGAATGAGTGCAAATCTCAGACTTTAGATGAGTACAATTTTCAGTGCATTATTCCAATGATGAAATACTAGTTCCATACTCTTTGTACTCGTTTCATGTTCTGTTGTTTTTTTGGGTTTTTTCCCCAGCTGGCAGTTGGCAGGCACCAATCACTGGGTACTGCAGACATATCTCTAAGCCCATGGGGAGATAAGTTGCCACATTGATATAATTAAAATAATGAGATGCATCAGGAAAGAAACAGCTCTAGCAACAGGTTTTCTGCTTTCTCATTGCTGTTCAAAGCTGCAATTTTCAAGAATTAACCACACAAGATGTGATATATGCAACTTAACCTAAGGGTTGATGCAAGAACTGTTTTCTTAACTGCAGTTGCAAGGCTCTTTTCCAAATCAGTACCTCCCAACAGCAGGTATCAAAGAGCTTATGCTGGTTCCAGAGGTCCCAGAAGAGATCTGTACTTGTTACTGTACAGTCCCCCAGTGGTCACAAACCAACACACTTGTACCTGCCAGTTAGCACTTTTCCTAAATAAACTTCATGTAAAATGTATTCCTTCTCTTTTAGACAAACATATATATATATATATAACCAGGAAGAAACTGAT